AATGTCAAAATATCACTACTTTCTTCAAAATGAAATGCTGACATTACAGAATGCATGGTTTTATTGTAATGGCAGTGAGATTTTAAATGTTTTAATGGAAGTCTATGAGGCATTTTTGGCACGAAGGTGTCCAGAGGATATCTCGCACTACATAAAAAATACTAATGTAATCAAATCAATGTTGTTTGAATCTTTGACATATCCAAGACTCTAATCACCACCAAAGCCTCACCCCCTACTGTTTATTATAGGAAAATAATAATTTTTGGGTTTTTTGTAATATAATAATTAATTCAAATTTAAACTGGCATTTAAACGGTTAAAATCCTGAAAATGATGAATGTTTGATAGTTTTGAGCAAGTTTGAAGTTGTTTATGTGATTTATGAAAAAAAGCAGAAAAAAACTCGATTGTAATCTGATCTTTACTGTATTCCACCAGCTTCAACCATTTTCCCATTGTAGGCAAATGCATGAAATTCTTGTATTTTTACCTGTTATATATAAAACGATCCTTATCTCAATCCCGATGGACCGCTCCGACCATATTTATTATTTTACACCAAGGCAAATATCTTTGTGATCATGTCATCATCTCCTCCTCATGCTGCTGTAGCCTGACACCCATGTGTCATGCAGTATTCCAGTGCCTTCATATTTTTATAGGTAAATAAAAACACTGTTTGTATTACAAGCACTCATAATTTGTCTTCGTCGTCTCCCGCTTATCCGGGTCGCGGGGGCAGCAGCCTCAGCAAAGAGGTCCAGACGGCCCTCTCCCCAGCCACTTCCACCAGCTCCTCCGGGAGAATCCCGGGCGTTACAAGGCCAGCCGAGAGATATAATCCCTCCAGCGTGTCCTTGGTCGGCCCCGAGGCCTCCGCCCGGTTGGACATGCCCGGAACACCTCCCTGGGGACCTGCCCTGGTTGAGGAAGCAGTCCGAGGTGAAATGGTTAGCACACACGTACAACACTTTCGGAATTGGAGCAGGTACATTTCCATCAAAAATAAAATTAATCCACTGGGTCTTCAGATCCTCGGGCGTAGGGGTTAAAAAAGACTTCTGTGTTGGTTTGTGCCAACAACAAAGCAACTACTGTGTTTCACTCGTACCTTCAACATTGTTCTACCGAAAGCTGGTGTTCGCGAGGGAAGTAACGCTAGCGTCTGCAAGACGGATTCAGTGGGCGGAACACACACCTAGCTGGGGGGTTGTCACCCACCCAGGGGGAGGTGGCATCGCCCTTCTAGACGACATCAGGGGAAAATCTCCAATTCGCCCGTTTGAGGACACATTTCCTAAAAGGTGGAGAAAGCAAAAGATGGAGAGGATGGACTTTTCTCATGTTTGGGGGGTTCGTAGACATGCCAGGGACACATAGTACTGATAGAAAACCATGGAAAAGTGCATTTTGCATAATATGTCCCCTTTAAAAGTTATAAATGAAGATAGAAAAGTTGTCCTGTCTTCTCTTCACCTCTTTCCTCCAGTCTTTCCACCAACAATCACAGTGGCTGTCACGGCTGCTAATGCTAGCAATCTAGCCCCCCCCCCCCTTTGGGTTCTGTTTGTCCCTTTTCACCACTAAAGACTTAAAAAAAAAAGAAAAAATGCTAACGCTAACGGCGGCTAGCTAGCAGAGCGAGAGAGAATATATATAGCCTAAAGTTACTCACGTCACTAGCTGCACAACAACCGACAGGAACAGACAATTCTAGTAACCGCTAAAACGTCTGTGCACAACATCAATATCACCACCTGAAATGTTTGTCGGTTTGTCAGTCGTTGCACTGATTATACTTTTAGCTAAAAAGCCAACAATGATGTAGCTCACCGGGCTAACAGGAAAGTTGCGAGCTCGGCATCAAACCGCATCTCTTTCCTCTCAGGAGCCGTCTCCGGCGGTGGAAAGCCACATCGAGAGTTACTCGTGTTGCTTCTTTTCTTCGCCGTTGAACATGGTTTCTTGTCGGGAGCGGTCCTGCGGGATAAAGATACAGATCGCCTTTTAGGAGGTTCAGCCGTTTCTGTTATGCTAACTTAAGTCGCTGCCGGAAGTTGTTCTTCTTCGTGGGACTGAGGGAAGACTTGACGCGCTGCTGACTCACATAGCGTCTAGTGTCACAAAGTGGTATTACAACACAGGACAGGTCGGTGCTGGCTGGTTACCGTGGTCATTTCAGTAGATAACTGAAACACAATAGATCACT